TGGGCGTGAGGCCAGCAACCCCATCCTGTAAAATAAACACTGCTACAGAAACTTCAAGCCACTAGCTTGAAGCCCTATGTTCCACTGGGGAACGTGAAAGAGAAATTAAAAAATTAATAAAATAAAAATGGCTCGTGGTGATGGCTTGCGCTGGTGCAGATGCATTCGCTCTTTACGATCTATCATATACAATAAAACTCTATTGTTCTTCAATATAACTATGCTTTTTACCTCACTCACTGCTGTTTACTATCTCTATCTCTCTTTTGAATCTTTCTTCACTCTTTTCTCTCACTTCGTATGCTACATTGAGGGAGTGTGACAAGTGGAACTGATGGATATCTGTGCAAAGTTCTACGTTGAAACCAATCAGTTAGTCAGTGAGTCCATAGACTCTCACCACCTCCTTACACAATCCCCTCTAATTTCACCAATGGACCAAGGTGGACCAAGGTTGAATGGACGACTTCCTAAATTCATTTATATAGTTCCATAAGAGAGAATATAAGTCATCTACAGTTATACCATATAAAGAGGGGACATCTGAGACCCTACGTAGGATTCTAAATAAAGCAGGAATTAGGGTGGCAGTGGCATTTAAACCTACAAACTCACTCAGGGACAAGCTCTGTAGGTTAAAGGACCCAGTGGACCCAATTAGACAAAATAATATAATTTACAAAATACCCTGCAATGACTGTGAGGTCAACTACATAGGTCAAACTGGTAGGTCAGGAGTAGTCAGATTGTCAGAACATAAGAATTTAGCCAAGGTAAGAATGGTTGACCCAGAGAAGATAAGTAATTTAGAAAAAAGCTCGGCAATTGCAATGCATGCATTAACACACAACCACACAATAGGGTGGGAGAGGGTTAAAATTCTAAAAAGTAATCTAGGTAGGTGGAGAGAGAGGTTGATTACTGAATCTTTGTTCATCGAATCTACACCCAACACATGCAATAGGAATGATTCATCACTCATACCCGAAATATGGAAAATGTTACTACCAATCAAATCAAGTGAGAATCAAGTGAAAAACAATGGAACCAAATAAATGAATTTAGGAAGTCGTGTGATTACCTTGATATGATTATGAGCAATAAATTGTGCTCGAAACGTCATCAGTAAACATTATTGTATAACACTGTGAGACTTTATCAAAACAAAATTTACCCATAATGGAATTACACTCTACCACAGTGCACAAGTTTTATTCTTATATCAATGATACATATGGTCTTCCAACCATTTAGAAGTCATACTTAGTTAACAGATCGGTCGAAATAAAAATTGAAGTCAAATCGGATTGGAAAATTATCATCCTTCCTACATGTTCACCTTTCACGAGGAAAAGGTAGAACACTGCATAGATCAATTTCGAATTCTTCGGAATTCCGCCACCCGTGAAGTACTGAAAACGAACCCATAGACGGCAGCAGATATGATAACGCGATTATTGAAAGAAGTTTGGAAGGAAGGGAGGAAGGAAGAAAAGCAGCCTACTGATTGGAAGAAAGGCTGGAAGGTCACCTTGTCAAGCTACCAGAGAAGGGCGACTTAGGCTTCAATCAACAAGTACTGGAATAGTGGAATAGTGCTCTAGTCCACCAATGCCAAGTAAAATACTAAGTCACGTCATCCTGGAGAGAGATTAAAAGATACACTGGATGCAGAAGTCTGCCAGACCCAGTGGAACTGGTTGGATTTAGGAAAGGCAAATCATGGGCTGATCAAATTGCTACTCTACGCATCGTCAGCAAACAAAGAAGCGTTGAACGGCAGTTAGATCTCTCTCTCTCTCTATCTACCTCAACTTCGTCGATTTCGGGAAGGCCTTCGACAGACAGCCTTGAATTGTTTCAAATTAAATAGCTTCCTGTCGGACATCAGTCAGTGGTCCAAACTAAATGGTCTCATGCTGAATCCCTCAAAATGCCAGACTATTGACTTCTCCCTTAGGCATAAACGTGATCTACAAACACTAGTAAGTTCTCATGAAGACTGTTGCATTGAGGGGACTAAAACGGAAACTAAGTATAATGCAAAAAATAGTTCTGTCTTCCAACCTTACTTGGACATCTCATATCCTAACGATTTCTAAGAAAGTGTTCTGTCTTACCTACTACATTAAGAAACTTAGACAATCTGGATTCACCCAACCTCTACTTTCACAATTTGTCAACTCTTGTATCTTACCTATTCTACTTTACTGCTCCCCGTGAGTCTTTCCTGGTCTACTGAAAAAGGACTATACTATTCTGAGAAGGATGTTGAAGGTAGTCAGTAGAACTAGTGGTGTAAAACTCAGTCAGCTCGTCACTACTTTAGTTGATAGGCATCTGAATACATGCGAAAAATGGTCTAAAACCATAATCTCCGACCCCCCAACACCTTCTCTATTCCCAACTCTCGCCTTGTATCTCATCAAGTAGAACCAGAAATCAGTATAAAATAATTTATGCTCGTACAACCAAGTACATGAACTCAACGATACCATATTTGGCCCGTGTTCTAAGTGACAGAGACAATGTTAAGCGCGAAACCTATGACTTGCTTTGTTGTTAATAACATAATTTTAGGCTCTTTTACTTCTCTCTTATTTTGTATTCTTTAGTGAACTCCTTCTTGAATACACTTAGCTACCTAAAATATTAACATTGGCTTCCATTTTTGTACTTTACTATATTCCTTCTATTGTGCATCCACTGGTTCCGACTCTATTAGCACTATGAGTATTACAAAATTGTCCTGTCATTAACCATCATGTTATTATAAGTTTTTGTGGTTGTTGTTTTTTTGTTCGGCAATATTAACTGACAATCTTGGTTGTGAACGCCATTATCACCACTTTAAAAATTTTGTATTATGCAGGATTACTCACACCACCACTACAAACACTGCATTATACCTGACAATAAAAAACAAAACAACAAACCCTGAAATGTTATTTTATGATTGTTTAGAGTTGTTTCAACCAAATTAACTGACCATCTTGGCGATAAACATTCTTAAATATCAGTTCATAACTTCTTGTATGACTATAGCTTTACTGTCACCATGCATAATCATATCATAGCTTCCACTACCCAATACTGAGTTATTATTAAATGCTGTTTATTTTTCTTTCTACTTCTTGGTACTTTTTCGCATTTATAATTATTTTTGTGTTTATCCTGTTTGTTTGGTTTTTGCTGTTGGTGTCTTCAGATTTATTTTTTTGTTTGTTTAATGCTCCTTTTAAATGTTTGATAAAATTAGATGCAAATATTGTAGATGTGTGCTGAAAATTCCACACTGTACCACTAGTACTGCTTCTAGAATAAGGCAAATTATTATTATTATTGACCACGAAGTAATTTGGAAACTACTTCAACACTACAGTGTGCACTGCCCAACTCTTTATCAACCTCAGTCAACAACTGGCTATATGACAATGCCACGTGTCAGGTTTTCCACAAGGGAAAACTCAGTGAAGTGAATACAAGGGTAAGACAAGGCTCGCTGGCTGGCTGCCTGCCTGCCTATTATCACCAACGATGATATGCCTAATAGTGGCAGATTGGATTATGCGTAAAACTGTGTGTTGGAAGTGAGTGAGAAGACAGGAATACGCTGTACTTACCAATAACAAGACTCTAGCAGATCGGGATTTCACGTGTGGATGATTTATGTCATTGAATGTCACACAAACACAAACTCGAAGACTTGGAGGCAGGCAAAAACTGCCTACAAACTGGTTGAAGAGGCTGGCTGGTTGGCAGCGAAGATAGGACTGATTCCATCCAGGTGATGAACACAGAGAAAGTGGAGATGGAGGTGGTGGAGATAACCAACCAACCAACCACCACCACCACCACCAACAGCAACATCAGTAACAAACAGCACCAGTCAACATCAACGGGAGAAAGAGGTTGACAGCGGTTATTACCTGCCTTAACTTATCTAGCCTAGTCGGCCAGCATCAATTCAACCATAAGCAGTCGCAACGGATCAAGATGTCAAAACCAGCCCGCCAGCCAGAATCGGAAAGACAAGCAAGATACGCCTTCGTCAACCTGAAACCAGTTCGCAAATTTTCTGCTTCACTCCGCCTCAGCTAGCATAAACAACAAAATTCGCATTTTCAACACAAATGTCAGTGAAGTCAGTTAGTGCTTCTACATGTGCTTGCGTCACAAAAAAGACTTCCATCAGGTCACTGCAGACTTTTATCAATAGCTGCCACCTTCGATGGCTGGCTGGCTGGCTCCATACTCAAGATCAAACGGTCAGCCAGAACCAATTACCAACAAGAAACTCTGACTGGCAATGACCGAACCTAACTAAGAGCCACCGATTTCTCAACAAATATGTAGCAGAAAATGGAGATGGATTGATCGGACATACGCCGAGGAAGAAGACCGACGAATCACATCGCACCAAACGCAGGCTATGGGCTCGAGTGGAATCTCAATGAGAAAAGATGACTGGGTGGTCGGTGCTGTGGTGTGGTGGCATGGAGGAGATTGCGTGAGTTTGAGGTGATGATTGATTATGCCCAATCAATCGTGGGGCAAGCCAGCTGAAGAGGACAGCAGAGAGAATAGAAGAGAGTGTGTAGATATGTTGCTGAAGCTGTATGTTCCACTCGGAACCCAAAGGAGTAATAATAATAATGCTGCATCACATACGGAAAAATTTTGATTATCCTGTTCCGGATATCATTTAAATAATTTAACCTGAATAATTATTTTTATTCCTGATGTTATAAGTTTTATTCACTTTAAACGCAATCGCACTTTCACACACCCACAATCTATGGATCCGTGATATTAGATGGTCCGAGGGAATCGGAAGGAAGCCTCCAACCATCTATCTGCACTGTGATGGCAAGCCGCCACACTGCAAACTTCACTGAGATGACAGAATTCAGTCTGCACACACTGCACACCAGTAGTTACTAATTACTGACGAATTAAAATCTCTAGAATTCGCCGATTCAGTTTAAATTAAAGGAAGCCTATATTAAAATTTCCGCGTTGACTATACACGCGTTCACAATTGAAAAGTTCTTACCCGACTCATCAGTTTCATTCCCAGTTGGCTGTTGTTGCTTGACTGTTTTCTCTTCGATATCCGGTAGCAGAAATTCATTAGGATCGATATTTTTCACTGTATTTGCAGCCGCTGTAATATGATCACGGAATGATGAAGCAGTACGGTACACAACGTCTTTCGGTTCTGATACAGAATGAACAACTTCACTGAAATCTTGTTTTATTTGCTCCCACACCTAGACAGAATATTTTTCAACACAAAGTGAAGAATAATCAGATGACTGTCAATCAAAGAACATGATTAGTTGAATGATAGGTAACAATAAAAACTGTATATATATATATATATATATATATATATATATATATACATATATATATGATATCCTCCTCCTCACACACACAATCTCCTCTATGTCACCCTCAGACATACCCAACTCCTCGTTTCCCACTCGAGCGACAGTTTGGAGCTCGATGTCACCCAACGGTCCCCTCAGCGTAGGTCCAATACATCTCCATTTGCCTCGGAATATCTGTTTGACCTATAGGTTCTTGATTGGTTGGTTCCCCGATTCCCTTACTGCCAAATTCTTACCATCAGCCTCTACTAATCTTCAGTTTGGAGCCAGAGAAGGCAGCTACTGATAAAAGTCTGCATGCAGTAGCCAGTTCGAAACGCTTTTCGTGACACATCAAGTCTCCTGCCGATATAGCAGTGATTTAACATTCGTAGTGAAAATCCGAATCTTGTTCTTTAATGCATAGTGTAGCAGATCTCCAGACCGATTTCAGAGTGACGAAGGTGTGTCTCACCTTTCTGATGCTTGCTGATTTTAACATCCGCACCAACGGCGTCACCTGTAATTGAAACGATAGTGCTTAGAAGACAAGTTAAGGAAATGACCCCTTTCAAATTGGTGCTTGTTGTTGTTGTCGTCGTCGGTTGGCCATCTTCATCACCTCCGTCGTCTCTATGTTCGTTCACTTGAAGTCCTTTTTTCGCTGCCAGCCTTTTCTGCCAACTTATTGATTTGCACCTGTAGACCTCCGGAGTTTGTGTGACATTACCTATAATATTATCTGCAAAGTCCAGACCTTTTAGAATCTTCCCATCGGTCCAACATATCCCTATCTTCCCTCTCTCTCCCTCTCGCCAAAATTTTCCCCATAATCCAGTCCACCACAATTGGGAATATCATCGTTATTGATAGTAGTCAGTCTTCTCTTATTCCCGTCTGAACTTCAAAGATCTCACTGAGTTCACGAATGTGGATCACTTGATATGTACCATTGTCATGTAGTTGTTGAATCAGATTGATAAAGATTTCAGCCGCGGGCGGTGGGCACAATTTATTCAATTAGTTAGTATTTTCCTAATAAAATAATGTTTAAGTGCTCCTGTGGAGTGAGCCAGTTACTTGCATAGGCCGTACACAATTAGGCGTGTTTCTCGTCGAATTTCCGAACATCACCCACCCTGCACAGTGGTTGGTTGGTTAAGTAAAGGACAAACAAAATCTATTCGCAGCGCTATTCTATCTCATCTTGTGGATACAGAACACAAGACTGATTGATGTTAACCAGGCGGATTTCAGGGCAATTTACCGCATACCTACGAACCTCAATTTCGCCTTAAGAGTTCCACTGCTAAATATTCCTGAGGCTGGCTGGCCAATGGGATCCATATTAACAAGCCTAATTTGTGCATCCAACCAAAAGAAGTTGGTTGGTTCAGACATTATCCTTACCGCTTGGCTATCCAGGTTTGAATGATCCTGAAGTTTAGTTGATATTCTATTTGCTACTATATCTTTATTATAATTATTGTTATTATAATTCAAGCATCTTATAAATGAACTGTGGTGATTCCATTGTGATCTTACTCTGCAAATCGATATTATTTAAAAAGGACACACTAATATTGTTATTGACTACTAATCTAGAATATTCTATGTATATAAACATGCATACATAGATAGAATTGTAGAGCCAGAGGAGGAGAAGGAATTTATCGAATAGGATATTCTTTGCTGGCTCAAATATTTTTGGTGTTTATGGAAAAGTGTAGAAAGTGGATTTTCATACAGTAGTAGTAAGAAAATAATGCATAAATCACTTACACGAGTAGTCTTAGCCGAAATACCACCCATCCAATCTGTGTTAAGATCGTTTTTTGAAGCAGACAACTTGTCTTCTTCTTCAAATTCTTCCAGTCTAGAAGGATCATCATCAGCATTATCACCATCAGTTTTAGACCTTTATATACAAAATAATCAGATTGTTATGAACGGTACATATCTGACATACACCTCAATTTCTGAAATATCTTCGGTTATAACTACTGATGACGATTTCTCTTCAGGTTTTTGAGGAATCTGTTTCTGCTTTTCGTCAGTTGAATTTCTAATAGGCAAATCAAATCAAAAGTGTGTGTGAGAGACTTACACTCCCAGTGACGCAAGTGAATTCATATAGTATAACACTGAACTCTGAAATGAAGAAAAAAGATTAAAACATTGATGATATATTATCCTTGTACACAAATTAAAACTTACTCAAAATGTAAAAATCGCTATCAAAAAGTAAAAACCTTTAGTTTTTGCAGAATGCATAGGCAGGTATTATTATTATTGTTTCCCTTAATTCCTAGAGGAACATAGGGCTTCAGCCGTGCGTCTCCATTGAGTTCGGTTCTCTGCTAGAGTCTTCACCTAGCTCCAAGTCTGCCCACATGCTTTCATCATCTCCTCTTTACATCACCTCCTCCAAGTCACCCACCCACCCTCGCACTCACGACCAACTCGCCGCTTCCCTTCCGATCGGGTTCCACTCGAGCAATGGCTTGTCTAGTGATGTCACTCACTTGATGGTTTCCTCAGAGTATGGCCAGCCAATCCATCTCCATTTCTTCCTCCCTATTTGTTTCACAATCGGTTCCTGGTTGGTTCGCTCATTGCCAGAGATGGCTGTTGCTGATCTTTTCTGGCCGGCCATCTGATCTTGAGCGGAGTATTGGGCGAAGACAGCTGTTGATGAAGGTCTGTAGTTTGTTTGAGATGCTCTTTATGACGCGTAGTGCAAGCCTCTGATCCGTATAGTTGAAAATCTGGATCTTATTTTTGATGCTGAGTGCTGTTGACTTCCACACAGACTTGAGAGTAGTAGTGAAAGCTTGTCTTGCTTTTCCGATTCTTGCTTTGATATCCTCATCAGTTTCGCCTGTAGTTGAAACGATGCTTCCCAGGTAGGTAAAAGAGGTTGTGCTGGGGTGAAAATTAACCAAGATATAAACCCTAGAAACTCAAAATGCTCAGATCACACACAAACACGCATAATGTGTAGTCCTTCAATGAACGAAATATATTCCCATATATATATATATATATATATATATATATGTATATATATATTGAGTCATAAGAAAAAGAGAACGTAAACAGCGAAGAAAATTTGTGCTTATTTTTCAACGATTCATTTTCATTCATACGCTGCCGCACAACAATAGTCGTAATTATATTAAATATTACAAAGAATTCATAAGACAACCGAGAAACGTATTACCTCATGCAAGGTGTAGTCTAGAAGGGGTGAATAATTGGAAATAACAGAAAGGAGGAGGCAGAAGTTGGCGTGACAGAATAAGTGTGAGAAAATGACTGTTTGATGTAATTGTGTAGAGTGGCCGAAAACTAGAGGAAAAAAGACAGTGTTTTTATATAAAATCTGTATGAAAATGCAATCTTACCAATAAACAGTAGTAGAGTGATAATGAAATAAGGATGATGAGAATAATTATAATAACAGTAATAACAGTAAACTTACATAATAAAAGGAAGCTAAGTTATAGCGAGAACGTTAGTGTGGTCGCGGTAGGGTGGCGAGTGAATTTATGTGGTGCTTTTGAATGCAGGGGTCTGCTTCCAGAGCTCGAATAGCCAATGATTCACCTTTGTACAGATAGTGTATTCGAAATAAGTCATTTCGTACGCTATTGAGGAACTCTGTGAAGATAGGGCTGCTAGTATTCTTCTTTTCTCTTCTGGCTAGCTAGCTAGCCAAGCTGGGCAGTGTTCCAGAATACATACGAACGAATTTACTTCGAATACATCATCCGTGATTTTATCAAATAAATTTATTCTAAAATGGAGTTTTGGCTTGCTGTCAGGAGGAATTAAAGGAGACTTCACCTAGATGCATATCCGAAACAAAAAGACCTTGGGACCAGTCAAGGCTGTGATAATAAACTTGACAGTATGGTCAGCCAAGATTAGTTAAGGAAAACGACTTATCTGAACCTAGCTTGGTTTACCGTAGTGGTCTGCCTTAAGGTCATTCATCTACTTGCATAACTATTTTCAATTTCTGAACATAAACTTCCCAGTCATTTTATTGGACGCTTTTAACCTCAAAAGGCGGAAAATTTGTTACAAAATTTTGTTTTTTAGCTGCTTACTTCACTACTGGATGTGAGAAGATTTGGAATCCAATTAAAATATCCACCAAAGTTTTCACTTGACGGGGAATGTTCACTATTCTGGGTTTCACACATACTTTTGGACGAGTTGATGCCATCAGAGTCCTCATTTGGTACATTTCTAAATTTGTTATAATATTACAAGATAGAAAACTTACTGATTTTCAATATTTTTAAAAGAAACCTCAGCAGTGTCACTACAGGGTATCTCAGCTAGGTTGCTGTATTGTTACTAATAAGAACATAAGCTCATCTACTTACTTAACTAAGCTTGTAACACTTTTAAGGTATCCCTTGAACATATCCTGTAACAATATTTCTGATTAACTGTTTTGAATACAATTTACCATCGAATCAGGTGATATAGAGGAAACTACTGAATTTGGCGGTTTGGAATTAAATGATTCAACTACTTTCATTTACATTTCAAATAAGTGGAATGAAGTCCTTAAATCTTTGTAGTCCAGAGACTGAGGACTGAAAGTTGTGTCAGGTTTGCGCTGATGATTTCCTGCATTCAACTGTTTTTATTTGTTGTCAAAACAAATTCCATGGGCTATGAAGCTGCTTAAGATAAAAAACCCTGAGATAGGCTAACCAGTGCAGTGATTAGGACTGCATCTTGATAACCATTGTGGCATAAACTTTAATACAGAAAACCATCTAAATGCTGTTTATGAACACTGGCTTTCACGTTCAGTTCGTTTCCCAATCGCAAAAAGGGATATCAGTCAAACAAATACCACACTCTTGCCAGTTAACGCATGTTCATGGAAAAATGACTCAGCCAAGGCTCTTTGACGGCATAAGAAAGCTTAAACGGATCAAAGTGGATTCAATAATTGGTTTTTGCCTAAAACTTAGCTGTGATCTAGACAACTTGCTTTTTTAAAGAATCGATTTGAATTACCTCTAAATGGTCTTGTCCTGCACCTGCTCCAAGAATGCTGCTTCACTCTTGAACCTTAGAAGTGCAATGTGTAGGTTCTGATCGATAAAACTAACTGAATAATTTGCTGAAAAACAAAATGTTACTCTTTTTATATACAGTCGGGACTCAAACCGTTGTTGATGGGGCATTTAACTTGCCATTCATTTAGTGTTTTCATAGGTGAAGAAAAAGGGTGAACTACACCTATGAGTCGGAATTGTCGATTTTACCTCTGCGCTTGCAATTCCGAGTGAATGAAGGTCGATTTCAATCACATGGCTATCTCCTTCGGTGGCACAGCGGTTAGGACTCTCGCCTACCATGCACATCGTCCGGGGTTCGATCCCCTGCCGACTCACACTCGATATCAATGGTCGGCCTACAAAATTTGGGCTACCGATATCACATGCTGAAAATTCCATACTTGTACCACAAATACGGTGTGGAATCAAGCTAAAATAAAAAACGCAATTATATGCCCGTGTGAATTCACAAGCTACTGTCAAATATCCCCACATACTTAAGTTCTAGGAAAACTTTATATTCTCGCCAACTCGCCTAAAATAAACTGAGCCATGAACTGGTCATTATTTCGTTGGTGAAACAGAGAACATTTCGTTTGAATTAAAGTATAATTATATTTTAATGGTTTACACACAATGATGTTTTATTATTGGCAATATTTCGAGCAAAACTACTGCTCGTGTTCATAACACTGTTGGAATGGTTTTGTTCGCGGGCATTAATTTTGCTCGAAGTATTACCAATAACAAAACTTATCATTGTGCGTAAACCTTTGAAATATAATTACACTTTATTTGATCTATTCCACAATGCTCAAACTTTTTACTGACATTAATTTCGTTTGAAAAAACTATCGTTGAACTCAAAGGTGGGCGATATTAATATATTCCTAAAACTGCAGTGCTTTGTTTATCTAGGGAAATATTAACATGTTAAAACTGGGCAAAAAACAACTGAGTTAAAACGAAGTTTATCTATAATGAAAACTCATACTGATGAGACGTTAATCAGTCTCGTTTTTCCCCTTGAATGAAGAAACTTAGAAGTGAAACTTCAAACTCAGGACCGAAATCAACTGCTGAAGCTTGACACCAACTTAGACAGGATGACCGACATTAGGTAGAGGTTTGATCCTCATTAATATTTAATCTGGATATGTACCACGCACATAATTATTTTTAGTTTCATTTCTCGGTCTATTTCCCAACCTATCGGGTGGCATCCCGGTGAAAGGGATTTCCCATCATGCAAGGAAGAAGTGAGAGTTGGTCACTAGGACTACTTCTCTTGCCGGATTCCCGGAATTTGTGTGTAATAATGTAATATGTGTATGTGTAATTTATCGAATTGATGATGCCTGCAAACTGGCGTCCCTCATGTAAAAAATGAGAATATACTATTATTATATGTGTCCTTCGCATTCTGATGCTATATCGAATAAACAGTTGCATTGAGGAAGCCTGGAATAAGAAACTCTACCATAATGCCAGAAACAGTAATTTGAAAAATGAGTTGTCCCAAAGATGCTGTCCGATGGGCGGAATAGGTAGTTCGGACCGCAAAGACCATTTTCATGGGATAGTAAGGGGTAACATGGAAAACATTAATACAAAACCTAGAATACCAAAGTCTAGAAATAAAGAAAAATGAATATAGTGCAGCAAAATGGGAAAGTAGCAACCTCCTAACAGGCAGCCAAGTACGATTAAAACGTATCTACTTGGTACGTGTACAACCTCTGAATTCTGTCGGTTACATCAGTTGCAGAAGCTATGAGGTGAATCTAGTCTTTGGGGTGAGCTAAGTGACACCTCATAGTCAATGTCATCAATCATCTGTCTGACTCAGTCGATATTATTATAGAACCCTGTGTCCGAAGTACTACTATCATTAGTGGGCAATATGACATTTTTCAACATACTGTGTTCGGAATCTCAACGAATTCATCATACACTAACTGATCATACAACAAATCTCACTGAGCAAGAAACGCCAGATAACTCACTGATAACAGCAGAAGTCAGCAGCAGGGGAAACATTTGATGTAAATCGTGGTGGAACTTGTATGTGGAAGGAGGGATAAAACAGTTTTTGGTAGAGACATCTTTTACTATAACTCCAACACATGCTTAGATACTGTCATACCACCTCAAACATATGCTCAGCTGCAATATCCTAAGTCCCAACCAACATGGATTCCTAAAATCCAGAGCATGCATGACATGTCACCTTGACTTCTTTAACTATATAACTAGCAGCCGAGACAAACAACAACTAGTACTAGTCATCTACTTCGGTATATCCAAAGCCTTTGACCGCGTTGACCATTTGCTTCTAATAAATAAGCTAAACTCCTTAGGAATACGTAACCCATTATTAGGATGGATTGAATCATTCCTTAACAATAGGTCCCAAGTAGTTAGACTGGGGTCTGTAAACTCTAAACCTAGTCCAGTCACTTCTGGAGTAGTTCAAGGTAGCGTCCTAGGCCCCCTTCTATTCACTCTATATGTCAACGACATATGCAGCTGTTTCCCACTTGGTAAACCATTCGTCTTTGCAGATGATCTTAAAGTAGCTTACACATTCCACTGTGATGACTTAGGATACTTTCAGAAATCTGTTCAGGAAGAACTAGATAGAGTAACTGCATGGTCCTCCACATGGAACCTTAAATTCAACCTTAAAAAATGTGCTTGGATCTGTTTCGGTGCACCCTCAATAAATATCAAACTAGTACTTTGATATATACATAGGTGACTCATCAATATTGATTGCGTCTGCATGATTTTTTATTTCCCACACGTGCATGATTATTGATTTTTTGCACTCGCATTTAATTACTGAATTCCCATGGTTTGTTAATATTTTTAAATGTGACATTGATTTTC